GCTTTAAAGAGACCTAGGCTAAAGGTATCCCATGCATAGATATTCAGTTGCAAAGGAAATGTTTTTGCTGGATGTTTTCTGATGGTGACAGGAAAATGCCAAAGAGGGAAAAGGGTTAATCTAAAGAAAGCACTAAACATCGATCCCTGAAGACAGTCCAACAACAGCAGTGTCTGTCTCTTGCAAAGGGTAATTAAATCAAGCATCAACATCTGTAAGGAAGACGTACAAGTCAGTGCATAATTGAAGACTTCGAAATTAAATCTGAGACATGGGAACCAAAATTAAAAGTCTTGAACTGTGTTTCATCCTTTTAATACTTCCATTTAGATACAAATACTGCAAGTCAGTAAGGGAAATTCATTATTACAACCTTCCGGGCAAGATTCAGATGGAGTGTTTGAGAGAGAATCCTGCTAGGTGAGTCTCACATCTCACATACACCAAAATACTGAGCTGCATAAAAAGTAATCAAAGTGTAAAAATATTGTTGCAAATTATGTGGGCTGTTTCTTGATATACCCTGAAGGCAGGAAGCTTCCCAGAGGTTTTTTTTTTGAAGCATCCAGGTCTTGTGTACGCTCTAGCCTTTAATTCTTTTGGCAAGATAAAGAAAAAATGTGCATTTGGCTTGGTGGGGGAGGGAGGGGAATCTTTTGTGTATGTTTGGAAATCCCCTGGACATTTAATGAGGAAAACCCTTAGAATACAGTAATTTTCTGATTTACATTTTAGTAACAAGTGTTGTATAGGTAAAGGACATAACATGGGGCCTTGGGAAACAGTTTTAATTCCCAGGGCTTCTTTTCAGGCTAAAAGGAGTACTCCTGCTTAAAGTTCAGCGTATGCTAAAGTCTTTGGCTGGACTAAAGCCTTTATCAAGATTGCAGTGTACTTCGGGTTACATCCAAGCTTGTGCATATTGCATATACCTAGTACAAGGTAAAAAACATCCATCAAAAGTACTTTCATTTTTTCAGCTATTGTAATTGGTTGCTGACTAGCTTAGTGTGATTAAAAATCCAGGGGAAAAAAATAGTGTGACTAAAACCAGGGAGCTGAATGCAGAGATATCACCACAAGCAGCCAACTTGGCAAATTTTTCCCTTGATGTCTAAGAGCACTGGCATTAAAGACCTCTTACAATGAAGGCCAGAGGGGCTGCCCAAAGATAGCTCGGTGCTGATTGCATCCAAGTGCTTCGCTGCGGCTGTAGAAGTAACGCGGGGAGTTTTGTGTCTGCCTTAATTGAGCTAAAAGCTTCATAAAACTCCTATCATGTAGTATTGGGCTTGTCAAAATGACAACGAGAAACTGGAAAAAGCAACAGAAGAGGTTTTTGCAAGATGTGTGTATATGCATCAAATAGTTGCAAACCAAAACTCGTCTTGGTAAAACAGCCAGTTGCAAGTGGAGCTCTGGAGAGCTGCCTGAGACAGAGACAGCTGGGGTTGATGTAGCTCAGGTGTGGGCTGTATGGGAAATGTTTTGATTTTGGCTCACCTGCTTTCTCTCCCTGTCTTATTCTGTCGGTGCTCTTACCTGGCACAGATAAAACATTAAAACAAGTCAAAACACAGTCTCTTTGTTTTCCTGACTTTTTTTTTTTTTTTTCTCCCACTTCCTAAGCTAGAATTTTAAATGTCAGCTTTTCAAAATGTGGCATTTTCAGAGAAGTGTTATAGCCTGGATCTTACTGAATGGAAAATGTGTTTCCAGTTCAAAGGGTTTTAAAACAAAACAGGAAAGGCCAAGACAAATGAAAAAGACTGGGTGAACAGCAGCTGAAACTCTTCTCTAATTAGATTTTTAGATGTGTCTGTCAGCATCTTTTCTCCCTAGGGAATTTGGGAGAGAAATTGAAATCTAAATCTTGCATGGCTTAGAAATTGCTCCCTTCGCTGGCAGCACCTGTAGACACCATGGGTTTCATGGCTATGGACAAAAAGAAGATGAGAAAAAAACATTCATTAGAGCAGAATTTTTTGCTGTTCTAAAATGCTGTTACCCTCGCAAATATGCAGAGGAATATACCTTGACCTGAAGTAGACTTTGATACCTCAAATATACTCAGAGATAATAAAGCCAGCATGGTCACTATGGTGGTGCAATTTTAACCATTTCAACAGCTTTTCTTCCAGCAGTATGGCTTTACTGTTCAAAGACATTATCTCTTTTTTAGTAAGAAAAAATGACTAAAACCCTAGTGATGATGGACCTAAAGGAATTGGGAAAGCATCCAGGGGTACTTCAGAGATCTCTGTCTTTGGTCCAAGTCCAGCACTGTGCTTGAGAGAATATATTCCCCCTTTGAAAGGGGTTCAGAGCTGAGAAGCTCATGCTCACTTCTGTCTGTGGAGGCATATCCTGTTTGATATATTCTGTTGGCTTGGTCAAACAGTCAGGAGTGCCCAAACCATTGCATCATGTTTGATACTGCACATCTTTCAAATAACTGAGCTCAACGAAGGACATAACTCCATACTTAAGACTGCTGTGCCTAACGGCTCTTCATGAGGACTGGCATGATCTCCCTAGTTTGATCCTCTGTGTAACACAGGCAGGAGCCTTTGCCTCAGCGATTTGTGTCTCCTAGAACATAAGCAGGTGCTTAAACTTCTAGTTAGGCATCCAATGGAGAATTTGCTAAAAGCTTTGCTGAATGGAGGCCTTAGTAGTTTGCATTGCTCAAGCACCTTTCTTAGATTTGACAATACGTCGTTGAAAACTCCAGATGTTACCCAGTTAATTGCTAAGAGAAACTTAGTTAAGAACTACCCAAGGGCAACCCGGAGCTGAGTTAAAGTGCAAGATCCCTGTGTTTCTTTCTAAAAGGATATTCAGGTTGGGTGCCTCTTTAATGTCACAGCACCTCAGAGCACCATTCCCTCAAGGGTGCTCTCAAGAGGAGAACAGGGAGTTGCTGTCTTTACCTTCAAGACACCAGGAGGGAAATGGCATGAGATATCTGTAGGAATCCCCAGGCATGTGCCTCTGTCAAGGGATGTCTTTCCCCTGCCACATCTTCAGTCTGGGATCCTCCAGAACAGAGCAACACAGTTATTTTTGGCTCATCCATTTGGAACCAGTGAAGCTTCCAGCAGGGTGCCAGGGCAGTGTAACGACTACAGCTTCAGCCTATAAAAACAGAGCATCTGGGAATATTTGTTTCTCTTGCCATTCCCAGGTATAGCTCTGCTCCTCCTGCTTTCCATTCAGGCAAGCCTCCACTATTTCTGCCTTCACAACAAGTTGTAAAAAGACTGAGAGAACATGAGGAATATAGAGCTTATGACATGGAAACCTGCCTGATGCCAACCATTTACATGGGTACCTTTCATTGCAGTTGGGCATCCAGAGGACATTTTCTCTCTCAAAGGGAAAGAAAAACCAAAACCAAACCAAAGCAGAACAAAAAAAAAAAATCCCAAACCAAAGTAAATTAAATGTCCTTTCGGCCAATTTTATGAGCTGCCCTCAGCTATTAATTTACCAGCATTCATCCAGACAGTGGCAGCTGCTTCAGCACACCGGGCTCTGGAGTGATCTGCTCCATAGCAACAGCCAGCCAGCATGAGCATACCCAGCATAAGCATGATGCAGAGCCACTGAGGGTCCTTTTGAAAGGAGCAAGAATGCTTAAAGTTAAGACAAGGTATTGCATCTTACCTGAAAGGGGGAGGATCTATAGCAGCCACAGTTGTTATACAGGTCAGTGTAGGCTGTGTAACTATTTGGCTGTCAGAAACAGCTCTTGCCATAGGCTTATCACTGCCATGTGATATGAGAAAATCTTCCAGGTGTTTCTAGTGTGTGTGACATAGGTTGTATGGATTTTTTTGTATGCATCTATGACTCACTTTTCTGTCTTTTAAACAGGCTTGCACCAAAAAAATAAAAAAGTTGCTTTTTGTTTGTAAAGCAGAGTAAGGAAATAACATCACTGCCCTCTTTCGGGTTTTAAAAGCCTTTTTGGGCTGGTTGACTGTTACATAAAGTTTGACGAAGCTACATGCACCAGGCTGGAATTCAGTTTCAGGAGTGGAAGGTTAAAACCTGTTTCAGGATTGTTTCACATAAGCAGATCTCTGTTCTGGAGTGGAGAATACAGATACCTGATATCCTTGGCTTTTGGTTTGTGGTGGGTTTTTTGTTTGTTTGTTTCCCAACTGTGATTTTTATTTATTTACTGTAATTTATTGTAACAATTCTGAAACGTGCTAGATTAGCAGCCCAGGAGACTAATGTCACAAAGTGGCAGTCTGAATTACACCACAAATGTCCTCTGCTGGATTATCTCTGGGCAGGAGGAGAAGAGTTTAGTCAGCTCTATCAATTCATTAGCCCTCCCCATCTGAGGCAGGCACAAGGGGTCCCACTTGGTGTCAGTAGTATTGGTAGCTGTTCTGAAATAAATACAAATCCAACTCATTTTAAATCAGGCCACTGAGCAAGTCATAAGCTGCTGTAAACTGTTGTTATCATGTGAGGCTGAAGCAGTTCTTTTGACATCCCACTACTTTGATATAGTTGACCCTTTCCTGAGGACTTCTCAGTTTCATCTTTCTGCTTTTTATGGTTTTAAATAAAAAAGCTCACAGTGTGGGTTGTTCCTAAGACTCCTGAGGCAATCTTAATAGCTACCCATGTCCTGAGTGCTTGTTCACATGAACACCATTCCCCACTACAACACTGCTCTTCACATAAGCAAACCCAGGGGAAGGAGGCAGCATATTTTCCAGAAGATCCCCTAGTCCTCCTGATGACTGGGAAAGCAGGGCTACAGCACACACCTTGTAGAACATCTCCTTCACAGTGCAGCTGAGTCAACCTCAGGAGGCAGTCACTTTCTCTCCACTGGCTACTGAGGAAGTTGAGGAAGTGACCACTTTTCCTCTGGTAACATCAGACCTTGTGACTGTCCTCCGTTTGGTCTAGGTCACCCCACTGATCCAGCCTCTCAGAGTCTATTCCAATCCCTTCTCTTTTCTGTACCACAGGGAGACCTCCAGAGATCCCTCATTCAGGTGGATTTTGGAGATGGCATTGCTGTGTCATATGCCAATCTCAGCTCAACAGAAGATGGGATCAAGCACCTCTATCAGAACGTGGGCATATTCCGAGTGACTGTGCTGGTGGAAAATAGCCTGGGTTCTGACAACGCTGTCCTCTACCTGCATGTAACATGTATGTATGCTCGTACTCATTGTTAGCTTGTGTCGTTCTTAAACGAATTATTACTTGTCCTTAGAGATGACATTTGGGGCTTGTCAGCTAGGAGCAGTGGTGGGATGAGTGTCCAGCAGAAGACTTCAGACTGAGAGGAGACACAGATAATAGTGACATTTGCTTTTTAAACCATGTTTCACTTCTAATTTTGGGTAGTCTACTTTGGGACCCCTCAAAGGAGTGTCCAGCCCTTTCTGAAGTGTGCCTTCATTGGCATGTTTACACTTCCAGAAAAAAGAAGACATCCAGGATCTTTAATCACTTTTAAAAGCCTTGACTTTTTCTTGTACATATGTTTTGCCCTCTAATGAAATACAACCACCTCTGTGATGGAAACCAGTGCATTTCAGTCTTTCCGTTGCCATAGGAACCAAAATCTTGGTGTTAAAGAGTATTACAAGAAAAGTATTATCTTCACATTGCTCTCCTGCTGTTCTTTTTAACCTTTTTATACTTCAGCTGTCTCTGATTTACAACTGAAATGTATCTCGAGTCCTTGCATAAAACCAGCAATGTGTTCTTTCGTATTTATTCTGGCATACGGTTATGAACCCAAAGGGTCAACCTGTTACTGAAATTCTGTACGCCTCTAATGGATTTTGTTTGGGGCCATCATTTTCTGTATAGAGTGGGGGTTTTTTTGTTGATGATTTATGTTTGCATCTATGTGCCTCTGTGAGATTTATTGAAAAAAAAGAAGGAAATTCTAGAACTTGAAGTTATGCTTACAGAAATACCACTTGCCCTGTACCAAATTAACTCCACATATTGTCTAGGTAATTTAGCACGTTCCATATACTTTAACTCTAGTTTTGGAGTTACTCATACAGCAGGAAAACAGCTGCCTCTCCAGGGGAAGAGGGCAGCTCTTTCATGGTGCATTGTCATGTCAACAGATGGGAGCAGTGGGAGGTATAGCTGTGGGAGATAGGAGGTTTATGAGGGAGCACTAGAGAAACAGGAGCAAATGTCTCCCTGAGTGCCTCCTTTCAAAAAGACCTTTGGTTCACGATCACAGTGCACCATTTATGATTCCCTAACCTGATAGATCCCGTCTGTGGCAAACTCGTGTGTCATGTAATCCTTCAGCACACCACATGTTTGAAAAACTGGTAATACCACGCAAAAATAACTGTATTCATAAATTAGTTTATTGTGGAGCTTGGGATTTTGATTTGGGGGCTTAGCCTGTATCAATTCTATGCTGAGGCACTGGTGAATCAAGGTAAATTCTCAGCTTTTAGACAGCTACTAATTTATTATTTTTTTTTTTGCTATTTAAATGTCATCCTAAGTAGGGTAGAGAAAAGGGCCTCTGCTCAGAATAAACATACATACACTTCTTTGATTCCGGAGTCATATTCTAGTTTGCGTCCCTGCATGTGCTTGGGTAATTATCATGGGAGCTGCTGCCGGTTCTGAATACAGAAATCCCCCTCCCACTGCTGCTGGTTATGAAAGTCTGCTCAACAGGAGCTGTGGTCTTTTTTACTTTTTTTTTTCCTTTTACTCTTTGTAAAGGTCATTGAAAACAAACGGAGAAGTGTTTTGGTGGTTGATATTTTGCAGGAGGTTCTGACAACCTCATGCGAACAGGGTTTGTAATCGTTCGCTGTTTGACAAGAGATGATTCCATGGGGACCATTGCACACGCTCAGAAATTGCAAAGAAATGAGGCCACGTGAAGCAACAACTGCTTTCTTATGCAACAACCACAAAATAGGAGGAGAAGGCAGGTGTCCAGCCTTCACTCTCACTCATAGTGGCTTTCTGGTTTATAGCTGGTTTAGTCCATTTTCTTGAGACAATGAAGGCTTAAGAAACCTTTTGATTGTTTAAGCAGTACAACAAATAAACCATATTCAGATATGTTTGTGTGACTTAGCAGCTCATAATGTATGTTTCTAGTTTGCATAGGTAATGCCAACATAGGACTTAAATACTGCACAATAGTGGCAGCCAGGCCCAAATTATATGTGCCTGACTCCCTGGAGAAGTGACAGTCTCACCTTTCTCTACATGACAAGAATTAGGGACTTCAGAATAGGTTGCAGACTGAGCATGGTGCCACTCAGACTAGCAATAGATTTGCTGAGGACAGGGATGTACAGTAAATCCAGTCCCCTCCAGAGCCTAACACCCAGATCCACATAAGCTTCTAAATCCATTTAAATGCTTGCATTGCCACTCAGCTCTCTGCTGAGTATACTGCTTTGGGTGTATGAGCTTGGCCTTTGGGAAGTTTTGTAAATATATCTGTCCTTACAATAAACACACATGCTGTGTTGCTAAGATCCACAGAAAAGCAGTGTACAACCTAAACATCCAGAGAGTTTTAGGAAGGGCTACTAACTGGGTGACCACTTGTTACAGGGTTAATATGTGAGTGTGTACAGCGAGATCTGGGCCTTCCAACACTCTTCCCTACCTGTGGCCAGCAGCCTTGATGAGTGGAAAACTGCAGGCACTGAACCAGAGTGTCTGTGATCTCAAAAATAAGAGTAAATCCCGTGCCTTCCTCATTCTGCTGCAGCCATGAGGCCAGTGCACAGCAGAGCGAGAGCCTTTGCTGCTGGTCCAGGGGTCCAGAAATGCAGGTTGTGTGAGGCAGGAGCATTTTGGGGTGAATGGACAGTAAATTGTATATAAACTGCTTCTGCAGCCAACAGGCTGTCTCTGAACTATCCTGGCAGGTCAAAATTTTCACTTGGAAAGTTAGTTATGCATTTGCCTGAATGCTTCAGAATAACATCACCTCCCCAAGTGAACCTTCTGAGAAGCGTCTCCCTCTCTGTTGTCTGGGAATTGTACACAGTTTTTTTTCCTGGGGCAGACGAAGGTCTGTAGTCTCCATGGCCCTGCATGAACTTCAGAAATGAATTCTCTTCAATTCTCTTCAAACTTACCTGGGAGAAAGCAGTATCCGACCAAGCTAAGGGCTTATCTGGAGTGAGCTACCCCCATCTGCTGGCCAGACAGTAGTTCAGCATTTCAGCCTCTTTGACCCATCAGCTATATGTGCAGAAATGCTTAGGCAGAATTGGCTTGCTTGAGCCATTCTTTCATGTTCTTTTCTAGCTAGCATATGGTGGAGGTCCGAGGAGGTGCTGGGCACTCTCTGCAGTGCAGGATCATTTGAGATGTATTCAGAGCAGCTACGCAGTTATGTTGGAGTGTATTAGACTTTACACGGGCTCCATTGTCACTGCTGTCACCGCATCCAATGTTAGGAAACGTATTCCTTTCGAGCGCTGTGCTGACATTGGGCTTTTGGCAAACATCCCAAAGGATACCAGAGCTGCAAAGTATTTAGCCTGGGAAGCTTCTGGTTTTCAGGTCTAAGGGTCTTGCTGAAAGAAGCCACAGCCCAGTCACAGAAATGTACCTGAGAAGGGGAATGCCATTAAAATCATATGGGTGAAATTCTGGCTTCTCATCAATTTTCAAGAAGAGTGTTGACTGCTGATTATAAAAGGAAAAATGAGCCATGGTCTGTCTATAGCAGGCTTTGATCATGGAAAACTCCTAATTGGGCTACTTTAGGTGAAGCAGCAGCTGTGACTACAGCCCAGTGACTGCAGCCCAGAGAAAGCTGCATGTCAGTAGCAAGTTAGGAACACTGGTCCTTGTTTATTCTGGCATTGTTTATACAGTCTGATTTGGGAGAATTTTTTCTACTCTCTCTCTCTGCCTATGTGTGCTACATAGGGGTACAGGGTGTTTACTCCAAAACGTGTCATGTTCCTTTAGGTTGAAAAGCAAGGTCTAAGTGGTGATATGTGCATGGGATATGTCCTGAAAAATCCTCTCCTGAAGTATATAAAATCCTCTACTAATGTATCTCAACTCCGTATGGACAATGCAATCAATCCTCCCAGGCTGTCGTCTCTGCTTCTCATCACCGGGGAGCCTGCAGATGTAGGACATGTAGATGTGGCCTTAATTTGTTTAAGAAACCCATGTCCCCATGTCACATGGGGTTTCATTCTCTTTCTTTCTCTGTCACTCTCAGGACAATTGCTTTGTTCTCTAAGTAAACAGTCAGAATGCATTTTAAAAAAATAATCTATAGGACAAGATGTAACAACAAAGGCCCATCTGTCTCCAGAAGATGGGAAATGTGTAACCCTGGGCATAATGTCACTTGTCGAATGAATTATGTTCTGTTTATACTAAAGAAATAAAAGAGTTTATTAAGGAAAAGGAGGGAGTATAAGGTAACATTAAAATGAAGGCACTCAGTGAATAGCTGCCTTCAGACAGAGTTTCAGCTGATATAAATAGATATGCCATTGTGCTGAAGTTCACCAGATCATAGCAGTTTGCATCAGTAGAGATGCTCAATGTCCATTGAAGCCATTTGTCCTGCACATTCTTATGTCTTTCCAATGAAGGCCATATTCACATAACAGGGCTCTGCCCCTGTTGTTTAAGTTGTATATAAACTCCCTGAGTGTATGACGTTCGTGCAGTAGAAAGTCCCAAGTTTTTCAGCTTCAGGTACAAGGGCAGCTCTGTTCTATGAGCAACAGAATTAAGTTTGCCTCTCTAGAAATGGCACCAAGCTGAAACATTAACTGTCATGCCCCACAGTCATTTGGAGGACTTCTCTCCTGCAAACCGATGCATATCCCTCTAGTTCCATTTTCTCCCAGGCTGACATTTCAGATGGAGGGAGGACTCACCTGCTGCTTCTGTCTCTACAGGCCCCTTGGAACATGTTCACTTATCTCTGCCATTTGTCACCACAAAGAACAAGGAGGTCAACGCTACAGCAGTACTGTGGCCAAGCCAAGTGGGAACACTTACTTATGTCTGGTGGTTTGGGAACAACACGGAGGTTTGTATTTCCTATGGACTGAGATCAAAATAATCCTGGAGGAGCTCTCTGACTGAGCAGGGAGGGAGAGCGGGATCTGGGAGTGCTTCTAAGTAGTCACACATGCTAGAAAATTATAAAACAGAGACCAAGAGACTAATGGTTCTTTGACGTACCAGCCCTGAAATGTAAGAACTGTTTTGTGTTTGTTGCTGTTACTTAGCTGTAGGGTTATTGCTATTTCATGCAAATTGCCAAGAGCTTTCTCCCTGCATTTACATCGAAGGTGGATGTAGTGAACCAAAATCTGGAAGAGTTTCTAGTGTGTTTTTCCACCCCCACTTTTTCAGTAACAACAAAAAAAACCCCTAAACTTAAGGGCTTAGGTTGTTTTGGGGTTTTTTTTGGGAAAACAACCTTTCAAACTTAAGCTGTTTTTCTGCCTGGAACTGACTTTACATAGCCCTAGAGTTTAAACCTAATTTCTCTGATGACTAACAAGGGAAGAGACTGCCATCAGTTTTGTGCCTCCCCTTAAATATGCTGAGCCCAATCCTGAGCCCCCACACTGTGCTAAGCCACATGTGCAAAAATACCTTATTACTATGTGCTACCAGTGGATAAAATGGTTCCCAACACACCTCCTTGCCTCTGGACTCTGTTCAGAGATGAGAACAGCATGCACCACATTCTGCTGCCTCTATGCTTGCCATGTTGGTAAATCTGCACAGGCTTGTTAATAACTGTTATTTTACATAACTAAAGTACCAAGAGACCCTAATTAGTTTCTAAGGGTAGAAATTCTCATGGATTTTGTAAAGCAAGAGGCAACTTCAACTACACATGATTATCTTCTGTGTAATGCAGGTCAGAGGGTTTCATCAGTACCTTCTGCTTTATTTAACTCTTTGTGATTAAGGCAGAAGATGACTTTTTGTTGTTGTTTTGCATTAATTTCCCTCAGATGATGGAGAATTCACTGCTTCCCTTTTTTACCCTCTCCCCCAACTATTTCCCCACAGCTAATTATCCTGAGCATTGAACACATGCACTGTGTTTGTAGTCTGAAATTATCTAGCTTCGGTTTCAAGCTGTTGGATCTTGTTATGCCTTTGTGTGTAGATTAAAGAACTCTCTGTACTATCAGAAATCATCTCCCCCTAGAGGTACTTACAGGCTGTGATTGTCACCTTTTAACCTTCCCTCTGATCTGCTAAGCTCGTAAGTGATCAGAGTTGGTCTAACTCTGTTCTCGTTGAAGTGAGAGTTTTACTACAGACTACAATGGTAACAGAGTTTGACTTAATACTGGGTGCTTTGAAGATACCACCCAGAATTCACTAATAAGTGAAAACAGAAGTTAGGGCAGACACTGCTGAAAGGGGACACAACTCACTGATAAACTGGCTGCACAGCAAAGCAAGGTGAGGGGATGTGTGTCTTCTCTAAACACCGTCACTTTCCAAAAACATCTCCATGTCTAAGGATGACATGGGAGAACAACTGAGAAATCTTAATTTGCCTCCTGGTTCTGTCACAACCTCCTTGAGTCACCTTAAATGAGTCACAGCTAGATCTGGGAAAGCAGTGTGACCCCTGAGCAGTCAGTCTTGCAGGCCCTTGTATTAGCATCTGGGCCTCTCTGGGGAGTGCAGCAAAGATGGACACTATAACATGGGATCCAGAACAGCCAGCATGCTAAGTGGGAAGGAAACACCAGGATCTTAAAACTTAGCTCCTTTGGAAATTATACGTACCTTACTTTGAGTTTCAGGATGACATCTCCATCTGGATCCCTGGATCCTCCCCAGAAAATGGGCTTCCGTGTTACAGGACCCCTTCTAAGTCTTAAATTTCCAAGCTGGAACTCACTCCCCCATAGGCTAAAGAGCCAAACTAATTTTTACTTTTCCTTTCAAGCCAAATTAACTTAATTTCTCCTTTTCTGATATATTTGCAGCCACTGATCACATTGGAAGGAAGCATCACATTCACATTTTCTGTGGAAGGGATGAACACCATCACCGTTCAGGTCTC